AGTTTGCATTCCTGCCTTTTATTATCAGTATCTTTATGTATCTGATCTTTTCTTGTTTGGGGGGTTGGAAACATTACATACAAACCTATAGATACATTTTTAACAATGTATGTAGTACACATTATTGATGAGATACACCAAAACACACACAAATCCACAAAAACAAAAAACAGATGGTCCCAAGTGCAGTTCGTTAACTCAAATATGTCCCAAGTTGGGGACTACGTACATATGCCATCATATGGGTACCCTATAATGTTTTTAACCAGATCATGACTGATGGAGAAACATTTAGATTTCAGATTGTTTCCTGCCTTAGGCTTGTACACTTGGTATTTCACACACTGAAAACTTCCCAGATCAATTCTACAAGTGGAATTTTGCTGTGTCAAGGGGTATGTACACTTGTACTTCCACTAGACTGGTTGTACCTATTTACACTCCCAAAGACAACGTATATTGTACATGTGCTTGTTTCCGCAACCCTTGCCAACCCAGATGTTATCAAATTGGTACCAAGCCGATTTTATCCTCCAGTACACACTCTTAATTCACATCGGGTTAGTTTCATCACTGTCTTCAAGCTCATCGGTCTTGTTCAACATTTATGCCCAAATAGTTATAAAGAACTCATTCTGTGACAAGGGAAAAGCTTCCAGAACCTAGAGAACAAGACACATCAATGAGATGAATAAGAGCCCTTGAAACTCAGCAGAGGGATAGATGGATTCCAACTTTGAGTTAAATCTCGCCAGAGAGGAAACCCAATCTAGATCCCGATGGGCAGGCAGGATGTGGGCAGAGAGGAAGGCGTTCCTGGGACAGGAAAGAACAGGGCCCGGTCAGTGGCACTTTCTTCTTTTAGGGAAAGGAAGAAATGCTCAAGTAGCAGCTAAAAGAGTGACAACACAGGGTCTTAGTTTGGAAAGAATCCAAAGTCAGAGGAAAGACCACTGGACCAGGAGAACGTCCAGTTCTGGCATTAACTAAGAGATCTGAGAAACACTGGTTTATCTGGGCTTCAGGGACTTCACCTGCAAAACAGGGAAGCTAACCTGAAACCAGACTTTCTATAGCTGCAGAACTGTGTGTTCAAAGTAATTCTTACGATAAAAACTAATGATGAAAGAGGGCAGGAGGGCGCAGCTCAGTGCACATTCTAGTTACTCCATCCTGACGATCCCTAGGAGGCCCTAAGAAACCTTAGGGTGCGCAAACCACAGTTTGAAAGCAATGAGTCCCTGTCAGCTGTAAAATGACTCCCCTTTTCCCTCAGTGCTGGGTAATGCATCTGTACTTTCACTTCTACTCAGCCCACCTACAATTCATTCATTCATTCAACACGCATTCTCTGTGTCCCTCCCACATACGAGGCACTGTTCTAGGAGCTGGCGAGACAGTGGTTAACAGTGCAGACTCTTCCCTCTAAGGTGCAAGTTCTATTTGGGAAGGAGACAGAAAAAAAGAATAAACAAATGTACTGTGTATCAGAGTGCTATGGGTTAGAGGAAAAGGTGTGATGGGGGGGCGGTGCTCCACCTATCAATCAAATGAACAAACTAACTCCTCAGAAACTAAACTGGACCTGGTAAAAGAAGAAGAAGAATGGCTAGGTGACCAGGTGTTTGCAACAGAAGCTAATCCTAAGGCACACATTACCTTGTCAAGGCCAAGTCCAAGATGGGGAAGACCCTAAAGGGAAAGCGTATCAGGTAAGTCTGTGCCAGAGGAGTAGACACATCAAGACCTAAGGAAGGGCAGCCCCAGAGTCCCTGCCCCCTGAGGTCCCCCTCTCCCCTTGCTAGACTGGGGGTCTGGTTCCCCAGGACACCCTGCTCCCAGGCTGTCCTCCTACCATCCACACCAACCTTCATATACCCAGGTAGCTTAATGCTCTGTTTCTATCACTGCCAGGCTTAAAAATCTGCAAGGGCACTGTGGTAGTTACGGCTGTGTGTCAACTTGGCTGGGCCTGGTTGAGTGGCTGGGCAGCTTAATGTAATAATCCTCATGATGAGACTAGTAATCAACTCCATGGTGCAATCTACTGGGAGCAGCTGAGTAGGTGCCTTAGGGATGTGGTCTGCTTCCAGTATATTAGATATTTTGAGGAAGGTCTTCAGCTTTTTGGCACATCTAGATCCCTGCATTTGGCTGAGCCTTCTTCATCTCAGTGGCCTGCCAATCTTGAGACTGCTTCTGGACTTTAACTAGTGACCTGCCATGTTGCTTAATAATCTTGGAACTGTGCCATTTTAGTTGTCAATCCTGGTTTGTCAGCCTCAGCAATCAGCAGCTGCCTGAGTTAAGAGAGGCCTTCAGCTTCAGTGGGCTGGGAACAAGAGGCAGAGCTGAAGCCCAAGGTCAAGAGGCTTTTACCCAGCCCCCAGAGCTCGCATTTTGAATCCAGACTTCTAGTCTCCTAAACTGTGAGAGAATAAATCCCTGTTTGTGAAAGCCCTGTGGTGCCTATCAGAGCAGCACTAGAGGACCGAAACAGGCACCCTCACCTCCCACCAAGCAGAACTCCCCCACACTTTTTACAGCAGAAAAAATGGGCACATCAGGGTTCCTTTTTAATGCCCAAGATCTGAAATTCTATCAGTTTAGTACTCATGATTGAGAAAATACACAGACTAAAAGCTACTATGAATTCAGTAATCTTTCAAATAAATTTATATTTTAACATCTCTGAGATGTAATTAGATAGAGTAACAGTAACTGTGAGGATGGTGCAGGACCAGGCAGTGTTTGTTCTGTTGCACACAGGGCCAATAGGAGTCAGAGCTGGTCACAAGATGTGACTTGGAAAACAGGAGCTATGAACACTGAAAAACAAATCCACACGCATATATGTAAATGTTTATTCACTTTCTAAGCAGTGTGGTGTGAACATAGACTGTCAGAGCTCCTGTGCTACATGGCATTAACATTGATAAAGACGGTGAACACCTACTGAGAGAGGTACTGCTCCAAGTACTTCACATAAGTACCTCACTGAATCCTGTGAAATAATTAGCCTCAATGTACACAAAAGGAAACAGACACAGAGAAGTGAAGTAACTTCTGTTTAAGAAGTGTCCAACTTAAACAGCCAGCAAGTGACAAGGCTGGATATTAAACCTGAAACCAGTCTTAAGTTTCAGAATGTATGTTCTTAGTCACAGCTCCAGAATGTCCCCTTTGGGCCAATTTATTTTCTCTCACTACCTACTCACCCCAAACACTGTCCCACACAGAGAACCACCTAGTCAACCCTTATGCATGCCATGCTGTCCACCTGGAGCACCTGTCTAAAGAGTCATGCAATCCTCGAGGCCAGCAGCGCCTGTTCTCTTGAAGGCCTGGTTGCGGTGGCTGGCTCAGGAGCCCGCGGCCTCAGAGGCTCTCCCACAATCTGTCGACACGGTTCTTTCCACTGCCACTCATGCCTAGAGATATCTACTGAAGGCCCATTTCAGCCTGAAGGCAAGAACGAGGACCTACTTTTATGCCCCATCAAAACAAAAGATCCCTGTTCTCTGCTGCTGAGCACTGGGGCTTGCAAACTTAGGAGCCAAAGACTCCATCAGTGGAACCATTCTGTTTGGCCAGCACAGCATTTCCATACACTGACATAACCTGAATGCTTTCTGGCAGGGTACCTGGCCCCAGTGTGCTGTATCGGGGGTTAGGTCCAGCCCTGTCACCTGCTGCTTCCGACATGACCTAGACATTCACTGAGTCACTGTTTACTCACTTCCCATTATTTCTCTTCCTATCATCTTTCTTTCACATCCAGTAAATCACAATTAGAAGAGATACCAATAGAAATAAAAGAGCAAAAATGGCGTCTCATTTGAAAATTACATTTTTTAAACAAAGCATACATTCACTTCTTCGAATAAAAAACTTCCTATATAATTTCAAAGGTGGAACCATCTCTAAAACTGGGATAACTTCGTATCACAGCACAATTAGAATTGAAGATTTTTAGAATAAGGGTCCCTTATCAATAAGAAAGAACACACAGAGTACTTGGCACCCCGGGGAGCTAATGTGAGCAGGCTGCTGCCACCGTCACCTCCAGCCGCCATCACAGTGGCTATACTTCAGAGCAGAGCAGAGGCTTCCGGCAGTGACTAATGTTGGCAGTGACCAATGATTTCTGGGTAAAGGTCAGAGACCTTTGTTTTAGAAGATTTACTTTTAAATTTCAAAAGCAAAACCAGAGATTTAGTGTTTAAGTGTTACTTCTGTTCCGTTTACAATACTGCTCAAGTTCAAGGAACAAACACCAAAAACACAAACAGGGGCACGCTGACTGTACATGCTGTGCTTGACCCCTCTGATTCCAAAGCCAGAGCTCTCTGCACCAGCAGGAGCAAGACCAATGGCTGTTCTATCACGCAGAAGTCCAGTTACACCTATGAACCAAAGCAGCACACAGCACACAGCACATTATGAATTAAGTATTATTTATGCACAGCTGCAAAATAAGATGGGGAGAGGGGGTAATAAGCATCTCTACTTTTTGGGGAGGGACTTTAAGTCAAATGTCAGGCATACAAACATCTGCATCCAGTAAGAATCAAAATGCAAAGCTGCACAGCTTTCCAACCGACATCGTTTACAGCGACCACTGACAATTTCAGTCCCAGCTGAGCTACTGAAAATTTGTACGCAAATAAAGTATTTGCTCTCTTACTCACACTTTAAAAGTGTAAGGGACCACGTTATTTAAAAAAAGCTCAAAGGAAAATTCTTTTGTGAAACATCACCTTCTTTTATCCAATGAAAATAAACACCTAGGCATCCCAGTCTACTGGGATTCCAGGGAAGAACCACTGGTACAAAGCTGAAATACACAAAACTACAAATCACCTTTTCTGCTGCTCTCTGGTGGCTTTGCTGCAGACCCAGAACTAGGCCCCCAGCACTACATTTTCAGACCATACAGAAAGAAAATAACTGCTCCATCTATGAGGCAAGAGGTTACAATGCCCTCAAGTAGTACTTACTGCTGGTTCAACTTGACTTCGATCTGCAATATCTATGTGGACAATTTCAACAGTTTTCCATGTGTTAGGATCTAAATCATGTACCTGTAAGTGACAAGGGAAAACAAACTGTGACTTAATTCTTATTAAGCAAAAGTATTTCACTAACATGTGAACTATCTCTCAGGGCACATTATGGGCAATAAAATATCCAAATTACTATTTCATTAAATTAGCTAACTCATTTCATACTAAGTTATGAAACCCTGAGGGATCTAGAAATCTTTTGTTCCCCCTTGTTGTTGTTGTTGTTGTTTGCTGTCGAGTTGGACCCCACTCATAAAGACCCCTCCTTGGGTTTCCGAGGCAGTATCACTACGGAAGTAAATTGCCCCATCTTCCTTCTGAGGAGTGGCTGGTGGATTTGAACTGCCAGCCTTCTGGTTAGCAGTCCAGTGCCCCCTTATAACCCTAAAACAGGAAGAGGATGAGGAGGCTGCCCAATGAACAGAAGTCTGGTAGTCCTTACAGATGACTGAAATACCAAATGTACCTGGCCTATTATAACTCAAACAATACAGGGTAGAGCCCTAGTAACCTACAAGCCCTATATAAACATAAGGCACTTTCATAATTAGGTTTCAAAAAGCTACACTGTATGATATAAAATCTCTCCTGAATTTGATTACTGTTAAGCTATTCTGCTTCAGTATGACATCAATTCTTCTCTATACCTTATGGTGTTCAACGATTTATTTCTGAAACTCCATCTATGAGCCAATTTAAGGATTGTTTAAAGACGGACAATGCTATGTCCATCTGAAAGCTGAAAAT